TTAGTATTACCATGGTCCCCAGCCAAGATCAGAGCCTCATTGTGCTGAACACTACATAGTGCTTGTCCAGCGTCTTCACTTTATAGAAAGAATGAGCAATAGTCCCTGCCTTAAAGGACTGCCAATCCAAATAGATGAAAGGGACTGCGGGGACAAAGACAGAGAGGCTTGTTCTTAGACACCTGTCAGGCCAGTGACAGGGTCACAAACAAAACCCAGCATTCCTGAGACTTGGTCCAGTTTCCTGTTCACTAGGCACCCTACCTTTTCATTCAACAACCCACGCACACCCATCAGTATCTGCTTCTTAGAGTGTATCCTCATTGCTGAAATAGAGAGCTGCTAGGGTAGCAGTGCTTAACTATTTTAGACTCTCAGCACCCCTTAGTAGACTAAAGAGGCTGCTCAGAAAATACTAGCCCTTAGTTTTCACTCATTTTTTACTATGGAAAAATAGTAGAACAATGTTTCTGTTGCAAAGAACTTAGAAAAAACACAACCAATTAGAATATTTACAACACTATGGATGCCTATTTGAAATCTCTCAAATTATCTTGTGAATCATGTTTGCACACTCACTAGTGCTAACATTGTGTAGCACCTTTGAAAGGTTTTCAAGGCACCCCAGAATGCTTCAGCACCCTGGTTGAGAATCACTGTGCTAGAAACGAACATACATGAATCACTTCACTTCTCAGACCTGCAGTCTCCAAGCTCATGCAGAGCCCTTTTTGATAGCAGTGGGATCTCCTCATCTGGATCTCATTATAAATTTGAGGCTATAAAGAGTAAAGACACACCTGCATGAGTTACCAGAAGCAGGCTCACAGACTATCTTTAGCCCTGACCCTGCAAAAGATTAAACACAAGCTTAACCTAAAGCCCAGGAAGAGTGATATTGATTTCAGCAAACTACTCTCACCCTCTTAAGCAGCTGTTAAAGACCCATGTTCTGCATACACATGAGTGGCAAAACATGTGCAGGTGCCCAGGCATCCTCTCTGTCAGGCACCCAAGCAGCTAAATGAGGTATTTGGCAAATTGCTCATTTGGACTTAGATCACTGAAAAACAGAGCTGGGGGGGGGAACCTCTGGAGGTCACCTTGTCCAGCCCCCTGGTCCAGGCAGTATCACTCCTAACTAAACCAGCCCAGCCTAATGCCTGTTCAACCTGCTTTTGGTAGACTAAGAGTGATGTTCTAGTCGTGACAGTCCAGAAATGATGCAAGAGACAAGGATTTCTGAGGGGGGAGCTCTTTTATTGGTCCAGCTACATCAATGGGATGAAGTTAGACAAGCTTTAGTCAGAAAGGTCTGATCACCATACTTGGGGTCAGGAAGGAATTTTACTTCATGGTCAAACTGGTGTGGACTGCGGAGGTTTTTGCCTGCCTCTGTAGTGGGAGGTGCGGCCCTCTGCCCCAGGTCTCGTGAGCTTATATTGACAACATTTTATAAAAGCAGGATGTCAGCTGCCCTGGTTCCCTGGCTTTACTTGTGACAGGTTCAGGACTTAAATCTGTGTTGTGTCAGGATTGACAGTAGACTTACGTAGAGTTTAGATTATGGTTTGCATGGGGTGGTCTGGCTAGGGCTTACCCTGCCTCAGGCAGGGGGTTGGACTAGATCAGCGTTTCTCAACCCATGGGTCAGGACCCAAAAGTGGGTCTCGAGACTAAAAGAAAGGGTCGCAAACAAACTTTAAAAGTGGAGTCTTCATTTAAAAGGAGAAAAATGTAGGAAACCACAGCTTTTCACACAGGTCCAGCCTGCGAGGGGCTGCCCACGTCTCACACATACCCCACACACTGAGGGCTGGGGGCAGCAGGTCATGAGCGAGGGGCATTGCATGGGGACTGGTCATCAATGTTTACGAATGGGTCCTGGTACAAAAAAGGCTGGAGAACCACTGCACTGGATGACTCCTGGGGGTCCTTCTTCCAGCCCTGCTTCTCCACGACTCCCCAACCCCACCTAAAACTCTTCCGTTGCAGCTGGACGTTACAGCTCCAAGTCCTGTAAGCACTCCTGAGGCAGTGGCAGGCAGGTATCAAACCAACGCCCCCGCCCAAAACAGCACTAGCTCTTGCCGACAGACCCCAGGGAACCTGCCCGGCGCCCGAGAAACGGCGCAGGCGCAGTGGCAGAGCCGGGGACATGTGGGAGTCCGGGGCAGCGGCGGCGAACTACATTTCCCAGCATGCCCGGCAGGCGCGGGCGGGGTTTTGCTGTGTTGTCAGCTGCTGCGAGAGCTGCAGGGGGCGGGGGAGGCCTCTGGCGTCCAGTCCGGGCCCGGGGGGAGCCGCCTCGGAGCTGCGCGGTGAGTGAGGGCTGGGGGTGCAGGGCTCTCCCCACTGCCCCCCACCCGATCCCCTGCACTTAGCCGAGAGTGGGGCGGGGGGCTGCGGATGCTTCATGGGATCCAGCCCGGACCAAGCCCCCTCTCCCCGTGCCCAGTCTGTGGCCCGTAGCCACCTTGGGCTTCCCCTAGATCGGTGGTTTTCAACCTTTTTTGTACCAGGCCTCACTTGTAAGCATTGATGGCCAGTCCTGACCTAGTGCCCCTCACTCCCCACCCCAAGGCTCCCAATGCGTGGGGCAGGCTGGACCCCTGCGAGGGAAAAGCCACGGTTTCCCACATTTTTTCTCCTTTAAAGGAGAATCTGTTTTTAAAGTTTGTTCACCACGCTTTCATATATTCTTGCGACCCGCGGGTTGAGAAATGCTGCCCTGTAGGCCGCCAGCCTGGTTGCAGTATGGGCTTTGGTCTGCCTGGGAGAGAGCGGGGAGCTACTGAGAGGCGGACTTGAACCTGTGGCCACAGGGGGAAGAAGCCTTGTTCCCCCACCATGGAACTGGGGCGATGTTTGGGACAATGGAACAACACCCCCTGGACCAGTGGGACAGGAGCTGCCATGAGGCAACAGGTCCCTGGGTTGGCAAGGAAAGGGTTAAGAGTGGGAAGACTCTGAGGAAGGCTTTGGCTGGGAGGAGAGCTGCTGTGGAAGCTGGCTTGGGGAGAAGGGGAGGCTGGAGGGGATATGGGGACACTGGGAGACTTGTTCCTCCTTCCAGTTCAAGTGCAGCTGCCTTGGCGACCTGATCCCCTGCTGCTCTGGGGGTTCCTGCCTGAAAAGTCCCCTGGATGTGGGAGGCCTGGAGGGAGCTGTGGGAATCCCCAGCCCAGTCCTGGGACAAGAGTTCTGTAGGATGAGCTCATGTCTGGTGGGTTTGTGGGGCTTTACTTGGCCAAGCTGCCCTGGAGAGCCCCTGGCACATCCATCCCATTGGGTTTCACTTCGGCTTTATCTCAGCATAGAATCATAGAAAATTCAGGTTGGAAGGGACCTCAGGAGTTCATCTAGTTCAGCTCCCTGCTCAAAGCAGGACCATCCCCAACTAGATCATCCCAGCCAAGGCTTTGCCTACCTGGGTCTTAAAAACCTCCAAGGATGGAGATTCCACCACCTCTCTGGGTAACCTGGTCCAGTGTTTTCCTGTCCTCCTGGTGAGAGTTTTTCCTAATATTTAAACTAAACTTCCTTTGCTGCAACTGGACACAATTGCTCCTTGTTCTGTCATCTGCCAAAACAAGGAGTGTAACAGGGACTGATCTGTTCTACATTTGTACAGCACCTTGCACCAGGAGAGGCTCCAGGCCCAGACTGGGGCCCTTGGGAGCCACCATAATACGAATCGGGATATGCAGTCATAGTGCTGTTTTCTCAGGGAAACCCCCTAGGGCAGAGATTCTCAGCCAGGGAACTTAGACTGCCTTGAGATTGTTTTGGGGGTGCCACACATTTTAACACTATTAAGAGATTTCAAATAGGAATCTAGAGTGTTAAAAGCCTTCTGACCTGTTGTGGACTCTTTGAGTTCTTTGTGACAGAAGAAATTGCTCTGTTATCTGTCTGTAGGCAAAAATCAAATGAAAACTAAAAGCTGGCATTTTCCAGGGGTGTCTTGAGTCTAAATAGCTTGAGAACTGCTGGCCTAGGAGCTGGCAACCTGTGGCATCCCACAGGAGCCCCTCTCATACTGAAGAGTTAAGATCATTGTGCTTCAAAAGGTCCCAGGCCCCAAAGGAGGTACAAGGTCCCTGTGTGGTCCTGAGGGTGGAGTGAGCCTCATAACACCAGCCAATGGACACTTGTGTCAACAGCTTGTGCTTCAGTGATGGCAAATGACAATGACTGTAGGTACCTGCCAGCCACCTTTCCCTGCTTCCCTCACTCCCTCTCCTGGTTTTTTGGTGGAACTGGGAGGTCTGCTACCCTCTTCCAGGGCACTATGCAGAAGTGTTTCTCCAGAGACCATCCTCTTCCCCAGCAGCTAGCGCACAGGCAGCCAGCGTGCTGGTGCTGGCTGCCTGCTGGTGGCCCACTGCCTTGAAGGCCATTATCTATCCGTCATCTTTCTAGATACCATGTGACACCTTGGTGGTTTCTTGATGGATGTTATGTGACACCTTGGTGCTTTGTGTTGTCAGTCTTGCTTCCAAAGGTCTCTCCCTCCCTTCAGAGACCTTGGGGCTGGCTAGGCCGTGGTGTAGGAAGGTGCATTTCCTTCTGACTTTGGTGACCGTTGGCCCAGCTTGGGGCAGGGTTCTCTTGGCCCCTTTCCACGAATGGCTTCTCTGCCCTGCAGGGCATGCTCTGCTTCTTGTGTTAGCACAAGTTTCCCTTCCCCCATTCCTGACCAAGGTGAGCAGACGGAGGTTGGGTTTGCTTTTGCTTTTGCATGGGTGTCGGGAGAGATCCTAGGTCTTGAGCTTGTGGTTGTTCTGAGGCAGAGCACAAATGCAATCACTCTGGTTCCACAGGACCCCCCAGCTCCTAGAGCTGCCTCTAGGCTGCCTCTACTTGCAGCCGTCTGTGTGCTGAGCAGGGCCCTGGGGAGATGCACCCCAGGGGTCAGCCTGCTCCAGGGAGAAGCCACAGGCTGGTAAACAAATTCACTGGCAAGGTAAGAGGCATAACCCCTTGCGAGCTGCACTGCATGCAGCCCTGGGGCAGCCATGCCTCTTAAAGCACTTTGCAGTAACTTACCTGTGCAGGTGCCACCTGGCTGGAGATGTGTCAGCCAGCTAAGGATTTCCAGGAGTGTTGGTTTGCTGGGCAGAATGGGAGTGAACCTGACGGGCCACATGATCCTGTGCGCTCTGTCTCAGCAGTTCATGTAGAGCGCAGCCAGCCTCCCTCCCCTTCCCCCACCAGTCTACCTGACTGCAGGCTCTGAGTGCCCACTCAGCAGTCTGGGAGCTAGCCTTAGCCTTCCACTGCTGGAGCCTTTGGCCTCAGCTTCAGATACCTCTTTTGCACAAGAAGGGAGGTGGCTCTGCTCTTAGGAGGTGGCCAAGCTCTGGGAAGTGAAACTCAGAGAGTTTTCCCCTCCCCAAGGGTTTTGGTGAATTGGGGTGCTGATAAAAGGGGGCAGTGACTGAGGTTGCACCCAGGGGGTTGAACCAGCTTCACCCTAGTTTCAGCCCACAGACCCTGCCAATATGTCCTGGTTCCCCAGCACTCCCTGTGCTTCCAGTCCCGATCTCACATACACACAGCTCTGCAACTGTGCCTCATCCCAACGTGCAGCCCTCTGCACCCTTGTTGCTTCCCTCCCAGCCTCCTCCTGAGAAGAATTGGTCATCTGGCCTGCAAGATATTTTGGTAACTGGGTAGAACTGTAGCTGGGCTGAGACTTGCCCAATTCATTTCACCCATGACTCTAAGTTGGATCAGAGCCCCCAGACGAGGAACTGTGGCTTTTGCCTTGGATGTCGCTTGGCTCCACCAGGCGTCAGCTGCCTTTTCACACAGCACCACTCCTGTAATCCCTGAAACACTCTGCATAATTGTGACTCCAGAGTGGATGCTCCTGCTGTCCAGTGGAGAAGGGCCAAAAATATTCAGTTACTTGGGGAATTGTGGATCACTGATGCTGCTGCCCTGGGGGAGACCTCAGCCATTCTCCTGATGAGTCAGAACGTAATATACTTCTGTTATGTTGGGACCTGAAGACTATACTTGGAATTGGACCTTCCTGTCCAAAGGGAGGGGCAGTGACATGATTAGAGTCATGCAGCAGGTCAGTGGCAGAACTGGGAATAGAACCTAGGTCACAGGACCCTGTGTCCAGCCTTCTCTTCTCCATCCTCTCACCCCATGCTTGACTGGGCAGCAAGTCACATCCTCATGATACCTCCAGCAGATCATTTGGGGCCAGCAATGTCAGTAGCGGATTTTTGTTGCTGGCTTTGGGTGGGTGAGAGGCTGAGAACTGAATTGCTGTCGAGTCGCCTGGCTCATGAGTTGGCTTCATTCTTGGCTGAGTCACTGAAGCTGTCTGTGCTGCCCCTCTGAGACCAAGAAGTGGGGCGTGGCTGCATGCCTAGGTGACATCCCATGGCTTTTGCTGTTGTCTTGAACTGTAGGTTCCCTCTGGGCTCAGTGGGTGACAACCAGGAATGAATTGATGACTTTCTGTGCTTTACAGTGAGGACATGTCAGTTCAGGGGTGGTCTGACCCCCTTTCCCCTCCTACAAAAAGTTCAGCCTTAGGGCAGCTGAATCCAACTTAACATCCCCTGAAAACCAGGCCATGTGTGTGTGCCAGGAGCTGGGCTCTCAGAACAAAAGATGAAGCCAAAATTAGAAATCACATGTGAAATGTGGACGTTTCCCTTCTTTGTGCCTCATTTTCCATACTTTTAAGATCAGGGTCAGACTTGGATGAAACCATTCCCACAAGAACACCCTGGGGATTAGTTTGTCTGCAAAGGCCTCAAGAATGTAAATGATATTACTTATTGTTTGACAATATTTTTTTTCCTTGTTTCATTTCCGCCTTCTCCTGCAATAACACCCGCTGCCGCCCCGCCCCCCACCTCCTGCAGGTGTCCCTTTCATCCAGAGCTCCTCTATTCCTGGATCAATATTTGTGTCATGGGCAGAAAACTCATCATTTACCCTGCTCCAGACAGCACATGGGCTTCAGCCTATTATTGCCAAAATGTAATTAATGGAGACTAAACACTCAGAGCCAGCAGCTCCTCCCCTACACCCAGGGCACAGTTTATTAGCTTCTGTAATTTTACAGAGGGGATTTGGCCACACGTAGGAAACAAAGCAATGGAAACTCCAGCCACACCCCCAAAGCAGCTGGCTGCTCTGCTCTCTTCCCAGCCATGCAACTGTAGTCCCCAGGGCCAGATGAGCTTTCATGCTTTGCCAGGCTCAGGGTAAAGACTGGGGGCTACACTAGTGAAGGGAAAGCACTCATCCAAAGTGAAGGGAGAGGGGAGGCTCATCTGTCAGAGTTTTGGCCACCAGACATTCCTACCTGCTGCTCCTCTTCTATATCCATCCAGTTCTAATGTTTTCCAGCCCTGACCTATAGCCCCCTCTTGCAACTCCCGTCTTGGGTTCCCATCCTGCAGCCTACCATTGCTGAGTTGGTCCCTGACCTTCAGACAACTCGGGAGGAAGCATAAGCTGCTTTAGCCTTTCTGGCCCTCTCGTGTACAGCCTGCTGGGGCCCATCTGTCTGTGGGAACTGCGCTAAGCCCAGCTATGCTTGCTTCCCAGGGGGCAGCTGCCAGCCCAGCTTGGCTAGATCAGGCTCAGCATTCTCTGAAAATCAGGCCACTGGAGGTCCTTGGATTGGGTGCCCAGAAGTCAGTGTGCCCTTAGACAAGAAGGGGTGTCAAAGCACCATGGGAAATGATTGATGGATTTCTGTGGGCTTTAGGTCAGGCCCTATGAAACCTACTGAAAATGGTCTGGGTAGCTAAGCTAGGCTTGGGCTGCTGGAGTCACTGGCTTGTATTCCCATGGTTAGATCAAGCCTCAGTCTTGCTACAGCCTTAGGGCCAGGCCCCTAGTAGGTAAGGCCCTCTGATTAAGGAAGCTGCGGGGGGAAGTTGGCTTGCAGGTGTTAGCACAATAGCCCCTTCCTGCACCTACCATCTGCATGCTTGTGGTGTTGTGGTTTCTAAGTAGGGGTGGAAGGAAGTCTTCCTCTGTCCTTCAGCCAGCTGCTCAGATAGCAGTGCTGCCTTGTACCAGATGTCTGTGATAGCACACAGCACCCACATGTGTAATGGTGAGGCTTGAAGGACACAGCAGCTGCAGGGATGATAGCATTTGTTTTTGGCAGGAGCAAGAAGGAAGATAGAGTTGCTGGGCTCCCTGGCAGCCTGCACCCAGTCTGCAAGCAGTGGGAGCCAGGCCAGCAAGATGATGATGCTGGAGCCCTCTGGGAAGGAGGAACTGTTCTGTGCCTAGGCCTGCTCTGTGGCTGGGACGGCAGTGAGCCCAGTTATCAGTTCCTCTGCACTTGCATGGGGTGTGCTCCGGGGAGGAGTGCTTGTACTTGCTTGGTCTTAGAATAAGTCATAGCAGCCTTGGGGCTATTCTAAACAGTTTTCCACACCTTCTGGGAATCAGGGGCTAGGCCATACCTCCAGTCAGTGAACTCCTGGGCACCTGGCCCATACCTCCAGTGAGCTGGCCCATGAGGTGGGGAACAGGGCAGGGTAAAATCCTTACTATACTTCTGCCAGTGGAGGAGGGGAGGGGGGACTGTGATGACCTTTAAGTCATCTTCTGCTGACAGGCTTCATATGCCACCTCACCCTTTTGCCTGAGTCAGGGCCGAGTCTTGTAGAAGTCATTGGGAGCTGAGTGAGGCCAGTGCTGCATGCTGTGAGTCCCTTCTGAAGTGCCAGGGTAGGGATGTTATTTTTGTGTCTGGTTATCTGCCAGAATTCTGCTAATGCAAAATTTGGTCCCAAAAAACCTGCAAAACCCTGTCCCCTCCTCAAATTCACCAAGTAAAAATCTAAGGCAAAGGATGGGTCGGAAATCCCAGGAGGCAGCCCCTGCCCTACAAAAACATTTAATGTGGTAGAAATAGGGGAGCCCTTTGGCTTGAGCACAAGGCAGCATGCTTATAGACCCCACAGGGCCTGCGCTTACCCTAAGCATCCATGCCTTCAGAGGCTGAAAGGGCGTATTGCAGTTCTGTTGCGTGACCTCCTTTGGGCTGTAGGCCAGAGACATCCTCCCAGTGACTTCTGGCCTGAAGCCCAACTGTGTGTGATGCAACGAGTTTGCTGAGTCCAGTATGAAAGCATTCTGCTGGCCCATGTGGAAACTTGTGCTTTTGAGGGATAAGGTCCCTAGATGTACTTCTTTGAAGACCTGAATCTGCACAAGCTATTGGGCCCATTTCTGGGTGCCTGCATTAAATCTGGTGGTGTCATGCTCAGGAAATGGGCCTGTGACCAGCAAATTTTGCCCATAAGTTTTGGCATATTAAATTTTGTTGTAATGTTGCTGTAACCAAAGAATGTTGTTGTCTGCTCCTGGGTGGAACTTGCTGTGGAGTATGCAGATGGGTCAGGGACAAGCTGAGATCTAGTGCAGGGGGTATGCGAAATTGGTGGTTTCCTGTTTGCTTTGTCCTGCTGGTTTTTATCCCCATTGTGTAGAACACACTGAAGCATCGTTTGACCTGGGGCTATGTGTAGATCTCTCCAGCTAGGTCCTGTTCCTCATAGGTTTCCTCCTTCCACTGACTGATGTATCCTTGACAATTCATTGTGTGCGTCTTGTATTGAATCCTGCATGTGCTGCTTGTTTGCACAGATGCATGGTGGCCAGCAGCCCTAGCCCCTCTGGTGGTAGTTAGGGCTCTTCATAACCCTGGGTGCCAATTGAAAATGGGTTCTGGCCATTGATTTGCTGTTGGGAATTGGACTCAGTGGCCCTCAAGTGCCTTTGGGGCCTGTGCTTTCTGGCAGGACGATAATCTTCTCCCTTGCAGCTCCCACTTTCTGCTATGGCCTTCCTGTGTCTCTCCTTTCACCCCTCACTTTGCTGTGAAAGGATCATACCTTCCCTCACCCAGAACTCCTCATGTCTCCTTCAACCGTCTTTAATTGCCTCTGTATAACTTTGGACTGGGGCACAGGGTGTTTAAGACTGTACAAAATAAGGGCCTGATTTTGTGATGTGGTTGGTCCCAGGCAGGCCCCTGCAGGCACAGGCTACCCCACTCCACTCTGAGGGATCAGTCCAGCGTGCAAAGCCTTTTGCCACTAAGTCTTAGCAGGATCCAGATGCAACAGGGCATGTTAAGGCAATGTTATACTGCAGGATTTGTACAAACAAGGCTCCAGCAATGGCTTCACTTAGAAAACTTGGTTTATCTTTGCCTGTAAAATGCCCAGCTGGCTTTTCCCAGGTAGAGTCACAGGAGGAAGGTCATCCACCTGTCCTGGTTGTACCCAAATGTACTACAGGAGTAGCAAACCTCTCCTATATTCAGCCCTTCCCACCATATCTCAGCTGCAAATGGATTTAGCTACAGTGCAAGAATATCGTCGGTTATTTAACATGTATCAAGAATGTCATGGAGGTGGTGGGACCTGCCTAAGGTTTTTAAGCGAGCTAGGGGCAGTGTCAGGAACTGAACCCAGAGTCAGCAGTCTTAACTAGAAGACTGTGCTCTGTCTTGGGCTGTTCTTGGCTGAGTAGTGAGGCAGGGAGAGGTGGGTAAATGGGGAAGTTGCATGGAGGGTTCCTGCAAGCTGCTTGCTTAGGAGAACAACAGAGGCCTGATGTGACTCTCGGTTCAGTTTCAGGTCTGCCTGGCTTCTGTGAGAGCCAACATGAACGTGGGCACAGCTCACAGCGAGGTGAACCCCAACACTCGGGTTATGAACAGTCGGGGCATCTGGCTCTCCTATGTCCTGGGCATTGGCCTGTTGCATGTGGTCCTTCTGAGCATCCCCTTCTTCAGCGTCCCTGTAGTCTGGACTCTTACCAACATCATCCACAACATGGTAAGTGTTTGCTATGGCTGACTGGGCCACAGGCAAGCCATGATGGGGCTTGGTAGTCACATGGTTGGCTACTCCTTTACAGTAGAATTAAACCCCACTCCCCTTCCAGAATCCCTGTGAACGTGGCTGTGCTGAACTCCACACTTGTCCCCTTTTGCCTGTGGGTCATGAGTTCAAATCCAGCCCAGGTTAGTGAGTCGCCCAGGGGAGTTTGCAGCACTGGGGATGGGAGGATTTAGTTGATGATTCATGAACGGGCCAACTGGATGGGTCAGGAAGAGAGGAGCATGGGGAAGGGGCAGCTTGGGGGATAGGCATTTAGTTTTTTAGCCATGTGTGTGTGGTACCAGTGGTGTGCTAGTGCCAGTGCATAACGCACAAGGAACATATGTGACAGCAGAGAAGGGGTTCCTTTCCCAGGCAGTTGTGAGACCATCTGGGAGTGGGGACCTTGTACCTGCCTGCTTCAGTTGCAAGCATAATGCTGTGCATGTGCAGGTTGTGGGCACATGGCTGCCCTCTGCTGGGACACAACAAAACCACAGCCATTCCCTGCCATCTCCTTTGTTCCTCTGGCTCAGAGGAATCCCCTTTGCATATTGCCGATGATGACTTACTTTCCCCTCAGCCCCTCCCCACACAGCCCTGGCATGTGGTTCTCCCCAAGCAAGGCTGCAGCCTCCCCACAGCAGCTCCTGAGTCCAGGGTCAGATGTTACCTCAGCACAGATGCAGTCCCCAGTAGTCATTTGAACTGACAGGCACACACATGACTTAGCAGGTTGCGATTAATCAGGGTCAGAAAGCAATCCCCAGGCAGGGACCCCAGTCCCCCCTCCCATAAATCTCCAGGCTGGTGGCAGATGGGCTCAGCTCTGCTCTGCTCTGCTCTTGTGCTGATCCTACTCCTCCCGTTACAACTCGGAAGCAGGAAGGCTTTGAATGCACCAGTAGCACTCACTTGTGAACAACAGCAGCCACAGACCTGCTACTGGTGCCCCACAGCACGTGGTGCTGAACAGCACATGGAGCATTGTTCCAAGAATATGCTGCCTTCTGGCTCCTCTCGCACACCTTGTCTTAGCAAACTAAGCCCTCTGCCGACCTCCAACAGCTCTGTGCAAAAGGAGTCGCCATTCATCTTATTTTATAGATGGGGAGACTGAGGCACTGAACCATGAAATCACTTCCCTGGTTCACCACTAACCCTCAGTAAAAAGCCTGGGTTCCCTGAGTCCCTGATCCAGTGCTTTGCTTCCCTGACCTGCTTTTCGTCAGTGCCTTTTAGGCAGGTTTTTGAAGTATACCGCAAACAGCAGTAACTTAAACCTTCACATCCTCCCCTGTGAACTGAGAATCACTGTGATCATGTTTTCCCCATTTTGCATTGGGGATGGTAGAGATGCAAGAGGTGAAATGTCTTTCTGGAGTAGGCAGGGGACCAGAGCCCAGCAGAAGGAGCTGCCAGCACCCCCTACACTGATTGCCAACAGCCTCTGCATCCACCTCCAGTGCAGAGTTTTGGGCATTGTGATTCAGTTCATTGCCTTCTTAGGTCAGGAGGTGCATCTTGTGTCGTCTCTGGGTGTGCTTTATGCAGCAGGAAGGGGTTTGATACTGAAATTCAGTTTCTCTCTAGCTGCACCTGTAGTGTTGGAGTCATGTAGCCGTGACAGTCCAGGAAATGCTTAGAAGGAAAGGACTGTTGTGGGTGGTATCTTTTATTGGACCAACTGCACAGCTGCCATCATCTTAGACCAGCTTTTGAATGACCTGGAGAAGAGTGCGCTGCATTCAAAAGCTTGTCTAGATCTATCCCAGCCATGCAGTTGGTACAGTAAAAGATCACCCACTAGAGTCCTTGCCTCTCATCTAGATGTATTGACATGACTATGCTTTGTACTGTGTGAGGTGACAGCCAGCGTGGTTGCAGGTCCTTGGGTTTTCAGGTACAGACCTGGAAGCATGGGCTGGAGCATCCTGACTTCTGAGCTGGGGCCCAAGCAGCCTAACATCCATCAAAATGAATTGCCCAAACAGAGCCTGCCTTGTTGGCAGATGGTGACAGTGCCTAGTGGCCAAGAAGCAAGGATTTCTTGGGGTGATATCTTTTATTGGGCCAACTATGTAGTTGTGATAAAGTTAGACAAGGTTTGAATTGTAAGGCATTCTTCCTCGGGGATCAAAGTATATCAAAAGGAGGATGGCGGGGTGGTCAGTCTCAGATTCCTTGTGTGGAAATGTGCTCCTAACGGTGAATGAACTGTCACAGAAAAAATATATAGGATGGAGACATACACTCACCATTAGGAACACGTTCCTCAGAACCACTCTATGTCTGACCTCGCTATCCTCTTGCTCAAGGGAAATCTATCTAACACCTTTAAAAGGCGAACTTGGGAACAGAAATACATAAGCTGGCTGGACACTAAAAACCAAGGACTAAACACTGATATTGGATTTATAGCCCATTATAATTTATCAGACTCCTAAAGGAAGGTGAAACTGTCCCCCCATCCCATTCCCCCTTTTGATAGGCCTTGATTTCCAAAAACTCTGTTTCTTTTCTTCTGCTAATTGTGCCTGCTACCTCTGAGAATTTCTCTCAGGCCTTTCCGTACGCTGTGCTTACCTGGCTATGCCTAGCTTCCTATAATCAGATACCTTAGGAAAAATGTCCTATAAGTTAGACAAGCTTTTGAATGTTCCAACTACACAGTTGGTCCAATAAAAGGATATCACCCTAAGAAATCCTTGCCTTGCATAATTTCTGGACCATCACGACTACAACTTCATTCTTACGCTACCCTAGTGGCCAAGTCATTCACTTCAACTTGGCCATTTGAGGCCTTTCCCAGATGAATGCTTTGCAGGCTGCTGGTCTGGGGAGTCACACACATGCTTTACCCTCTGTCTGTGTTTGCTACAGAGCATGTACATCTTCCTGCACACGGTGAAAGGAACCCCCTTCGAGACACCGGATCAGGGGAAGGCCCGGCTGCTCACTCACTGGGAGCAGATGGACTATGGCGTGCAGTTCACAGCATCACGCAAATTCCTCACCATCATGCCCATTGTGCTGTGAGTACTTCCAGTTGTCCTGCTGGACACAGCCCAGCCCAGCTCTTCTTAGTCATCCTCTTGCAGACACTGCCTCAGCAAACCAATGCCCTCTCTTGGCTTTCAGAATATCCCTGGCTCGTGTTTGGAGCCTTTGGGACAAGGAGTGAGAGAGCTCCTGGGAACGTGGCAAAATCTCAGTGGTGCCGTGTTTTGTGGTATTTGCCAGATTTGCAGCCCAGCTTTGTACTGTAATCTGTTGGTTGCATTTGGAGATGGGATCAGTTGCTGGAAGAAACTCTTCCACTAAAGGAATGGCAGAGGCTGTAGCAGAAGCAACAAGTGGTCCATCTCTCAATGCCCTTGGGGGTAACAGCACTGATTAAAGATGTGGGCAGTTGTATTTCAACTTCCCCCCCTCCCTCTCTCTCTCTCTCTCTCTCTCTCCCTCCCTCCTTCCTTCCAGGTACTTCCTAACCAGCTTCTACACAAAATATGACCGGATACACTTCATAATCAACACCATCTCCCTCATGAGCGTCCTGATCCCCAAACTGCCGCAGCTTCATGGTGTCCGCATCTTCGGGATCAACAAATACTAAGCTTCTTGGATGAAGTGAGCTGGCAGGGAGGGGGGCAGAAATCCTTTCTCTTTAGTCCCGTTTTTCCTCCGTGCCATACTGGGATACAATTTCACGACGGCTGTTTAAATGCAGTATCCAGTAGACTTGTATACCGCATGCAGGATCCTCATGCCCAGTCAGTCTAAGCAGGCTCCAGAGTAGCAGAATCCTGAGTAGAGTTTAGCACGGAGCCGGAGGTCACGGGCTAGACTTATTTTACTCCAATATCACACATAGATGCAGATGTGCTGAGACTTCAAGGTACAAATAGGTTCATTTGTGGGGAGGTTTCCATCCAGCCTGTACACTAACTGGAGAGAGTAGCAAGGTGGGAGAATGCTGTAAGAGCTGGTACTTTTTGCTCTGGCAAATGCACTTTAAAATATACCTTCCCTTTTTGAGGCTGGACACACTCACAAAGGGCTACATGGGGAAATTAAAGGGCATATGGCCAGATTTCCCAGCTAGCTGGTCACTTGAATTTTGTGAGATAGAGTTTATTTTTTAAACTTCTCTGCTGTCACTGGGAAAGGAACTGCTTTTCTAATAAGAAAACAGGAAGGTGCTACCTTGTATTTTGGGCAGGACTTTCCTGTTTTCCGTGGCACATTTAATACAATTCATGGGGGGAGCTGGCAGATCCCAAATCCCCTTTGAGGTCCCATTCATTCCTGTTACTTTAAGCTGTTACCAATGTCTGTCTGTCTGGGCATTTTTCTGAGGGGAAGTGGCTATATTTTAGAACATGTGGGGTGGGAGGTTCTGCCTCATCTCATGGGCCCCTTTCCAGCAATAACCCTATGCAGCACTTGGAGGAAGTGTTTAAGTCCTCTTTTGGTTTGTTGGAAAGTGTTACTATTGCCTGAGCTATGGATGTGGATATTGGGACTAAGTGAGGGAGGCTGAGGGCTAACGTGTGGACTCTAGCAAGCAACTGGTTGTTGCTTGGTAGTGGGCATGCTGGTACAAACAGGGATGTAGGAATGGTTGGAGTTGAATGACTTCTTCCTCCTCTCACCCCAACCTCTTGCCCACCTCTCTTGTGTCTGCATAGATCAGCGGGATTTGCCAAATCCCTAGCTCTGGGAACAAAGCTTAGCATGTGACATCATGCATGGAAAACAGTTTTGTGGATTTTGATTGGACCTGGAGACCTGTCAGTCATTGCCCCATGTGACTTCTAGTCTGGAGGTTGCAGCATTATTCCCACAGGCTCCATAACAGCCATTAGCAAGGTTAACAGAGCTGTGGGAGAAATGGCAACAGGTCTAACAGGTCACTGCAGCTCTTAATTTGTACTGGCAGCATAGGAAATCCTAGGTGGACAGTGTGCTTATGGTGGTGAAAGTACATCTATAGGTCACCTAAAGCCCATCTTTTTACCTGCTTCCATTTTCCACTCAGATCATGGCTAGAGTTGGCCATCACCCATCTATTCCTGGACAGCAACAATCGTTAGTGTAGTAGGTTGGGTGGTATGCTTTGCCTTTGTTTCTTGTGCAAACTGAAAGCCCCTGCTTGCTTGCCCTTGATCTAGTGGTTGATTCAGAGGGGCGGGGGGAGATGCATGTCAGTGGGTACAAGTCCTACATCAAGAAAGGGGGTAGGGGGGAAATAGTTTGGGGGGAGCAGGCCATTGCATGAAGTGTTGCTGGATGAAAGATCAGGGGTTGCTGATCAACCAGTCTCTTGGCTTCAGACTCTCACTTTGCTTTTATCCATGCACTGTGAGTTCATTCCAGGAGGTTTGAGGGAATAATTGTTTTCTGCACCTCAGATTATTAGGATGAAGAAGGGGCAACTGAAGAAATGCCCTGCCCCTCCTTTCCTTCTTCCCCCAAGCTCAACTGGGTGGTGTGTATCTGATATGGGGTGCTCTGACATGCAGGCGATCAGTTTTCTGTACCCTCAGAAGCTAGTTTGAGGGGACTGGGTTATTTCTAATTTCAGTCACACTCTGCGGTAGAACCCCAGTAATCCCTGTGTGGAGAGGGACTGCTGAAGAAAAGTTCTTATAATCAAGGTTTGGGATGAACATGGGGCTTACTGTGATGTAAGAGATGAAGGTGCTTTGGCTGTGATGATGAGGTAGGGCTACCCAGGGATGCAGCACAGTAACAAAACTAAACTTCCTTCCTCACCAAATTGGTGCTCTCTGCTCACAACAGGTATAGCTCTGGCTGGCTAGAGTAGATTTCCAGTGCTCCTAAAGCAGCGGTTTTCTAGAGGATCATGTGCTGACTGCAATAGACTTTTGTTTTTATTTCTCATGCTTCTTTTGTGTACTAATGGTGATTTTTTTTTTGTTTTGTTTCCTAGAGCTATAGTTGTCTCAAGGTTTTGGTGGTGATGCTGTAAACACTCAAATAAGATATTTTAGTTCATATGTTAATTGAGTGTTGCTTTAGAAATGAGTAGGCAATACAGTGGATAGTGACAAAGGTAGACCAGATCTAATGGTCAAAGCACAGGAGTGGGAGTTAGGGACTCCTGAGCTCAAATCCCAGGTCTTCACTAACTGCTCGTGTGGTTTGGGGTGAGTCGTTTAACCTCTCTGCCTTGGTTTCATTATCTACTCTGCAGAGGAGAGGGGAATAATGCTTTACCTGCCTCACAGACCTGTTGTGAAATTTCTTGTCTCTAGAGTGCCTCACAGGTAGAAATGATGCTTTAAATATTAATGAAGAGGAAGACGGCAAAAAAGTGAACCTGATTTGGGTTCTTTATACTTTCACCTTTTAAAAAGAGAGGCTGACAAATGCAGAAAGTTAATTTGATATAAGACTTCCCCCAGCCCTTGTGACAGAGGATTGCTGCTTTGGTTAAGGTACCACATACCCCTGCAGCTAGTACACTCTTTCATGCTATTAGTCAATAGCTTCTTGAAAAACAGTTGCTTCAGTCTAGTGCTGTTTTTGTTCAAGGGCTGATGAGTACTTCTGAGCTGGTCCTGAAAAGAATGTTGTGGATAAGTGTCTGAAATGCCAATGGTAAGATTGCTGACTTTACCTTTGTAGTGACGATGCTTTCGCGTAGGCAAGTGGGGCAACTTATGTAGCCTGAAGGATACATTATTGGAGAAATCTATATATCCAGTAGCTCATGGGGAGCTGTCATGTATTTGGACAGAAAGAAACCTAAGTGGAGGTAGCAAACTTATGATTTTAATGGCTGGAATTTCCATAGAAGGTGGGGCAGGAAACCACAGAACTACTTTGTTTGACAAAAAATAAAAAAACAAGGGCTTTTTTGCTTTAAAGCATGATTCCCATACTGACATCTGTTCTTTTTGTTTTTTCTCTTTGTGGTATGTGTAAACCATGCCACAGCAGAGTGATTTCTATTTTTAGAGCAGAATCATAAAGTGTTGGTAGAGGCCAGATTCTGGCATGGTGTAAGGCAGAGCTCTCGAGCTTGCAACCTGTAGGCTTCCCTACAGCTTGCAACCTGTGGCCCTCTCAGTGGGTCAATTTGCAGTCCATAAGCTTTGCTTCTTGCCCATCGCTCCAGCAGCTGCTGCCACCAGAGTCTCTGGTCCTTCCCCTCTTCCCTCCAACTTCCACTTACTGCCCCTGCAAGTGATGCCACGATGCGGGGGGGGGGGCTTTGGGGCATAGCAGGAGGGTTGCCTATGTGGTACAACCTAGTGGGAAGGGGAGGGTGCTGGCATCTGCCCTACATGTCACCCTTGGCTATTCTGAATTGGACAGCTCTGGTGTAAGGCAGTGTAGTTCCACCCACAGCAAAGAAGCTCTGAAAATTTATGCCAGCTGAGGACCTGGTCACAGGCTATTTGTAGCATGAATTAAAACTAGTATAGTAACACTTACTGAGTAGTGTTTACGGATGAAGTGTAAAGATATCCAGAGTAAAACAATTAACTTTTCAAAGGGCCATTTTGAAATCCAAAGTGCAGGTTTTTTTTAATTGGTTGTTAAAGCCTTAATAGATAAGTTTAATAACGTCTTTCTTTTGGGGGATTAAAATATTCACCAACAAGCCAAATGTCACATTCTGGTCACAGTGCATCTGAACCCGGAACTGTGGTATGGACATCCCCTTAGATAACCTAGAACCCTGAATTGAAGCTGCTCATATAAGTTAAGGCTGGGGATGAAGGACAGCAGAGATGGCAGCTCAGAATCAGATGACAAATGAGGAAGGGCCAGTCTTGCCATGGAGAGTCAAAGAAAGTAGCAAAAAGTGCTGAGGAGACTCCTGTGTGATGAAAAACCATATTTGGGGGGAGAGCGCCTACAAGTCTCCTAGATCAGAACATCTGTCTGTAGTTTAGAATTATTGGACATTAAATATAGCTGCATCCACTGTGGTAATGATCCCAAAGGGAAAATCCTCTCTTGCCTTGTTTGGGCCTTTGCATTTCTACCTATTCATGAAGCCTCTCTAACCAGGAATGGAATTTCCCAAGCACTTAATAGGAAGTTAGACAACTGACTCCTCATGCCTTGGAATGGGTCTTACATGGCACTTGGACAAATCTCACCCTATACCCTGTGCTGGCTTTCTGCATAGTGATAGGGGGGAAGTTCAACTGAATAAGGAACAAAAGCTATGCTTCATAATGTGACTAAGTAACAAGGAGGAGACATGGCTACCGCAAGTGCTTCTCATTTTAATTCTGCAATGAACACTAAGGCAGAGACACCAAGGTTTTTAAATATTGGTACATACATGGCATTGGCCTGGCAAAAGCTGTTCCTCTTGCCTGCTGCTGCGGCATCTTTTTCATCAGTTACTGTGTGGGCTTCATACTTGTCCACAGAGCACAGGACAATAGAACGTCACTAGCTTAACATGACTGAGGGTAAAACCCAACCATGTAATCAGGTTCAAACAGCTGGATTTCTTTCAAGGCACTACAGAACCCTTCTGCACAGATCTGACTGCAGGATCAGTGCTGCCTTCTTATTTCAGATCCAGGGCTACTTAGTCTGTGAGGGTTTATTTTAAGAACAATTGAGCAGGTTGTAAACAATAATTTTTATATAAAATATGGTACTGGTCCTTGAAGAAGAGATAACAGCTGGGTTGCATTTTTAGCACACATTCACTCTCTCATATGATTTATATTGCTTTGATTTATGATATATATTTTAAGTGTGCGTGTGCATAATAAACCCTTTGGGTCAATTTCAGTGAGCTACATCAATTTTTTATGCACCATTCTTGCATTGTACATAGAATTGTAGTTGTGCTTTTTGTTTTTTTCCCAGTTGCCCTTTTGCCTCATGTATACAAAAGTCTTTCATCTAGAGAACTTTCTAAGACAAAGTGTGAATATTTTTATTACTCCTTTGTACAGTATTCTAAGAGAAACTAATAAAGGTCAGTATTCATGTAAAGTCCTGCGTTTAGCTCTGTGTGTGTCTAGAAGTTGCTATTAAAACAATATTGTAAACATGGAAAAACGAAGTGGAAGGCTAATGATTACCAGACAACAAGTGCATACCCACTCCAATAGCCTACTCAATTTTCATTTTTCCCATGCCTTAGCAGGCAAAGGTATAACCAGATAGAATGGCTAGAAGATTAAACATGCAAAATTGAGGCTAAAGTGCACATTTTAATTGGTATCGAAAATTAACTTTTGGAGCCAGGTCGGAAAAGATGTGGTAGCCTCTCCATCACTTGAAACCACCAGATGGAGAGTGCATGCATCTGTGATCTAGTTTGATGGCAAACTATTGAGGGAGTTGCTGAAATTGGTGGGTAAAATTCTGCCCTGTGATCTGCAAGAGGTCAGACAAATTGATCAGAATAGTTGCCTCCTGGCCTTAAAATGTATGCATACAGAGGTGATTGTACAGAGGAGGAACAGACATTTGTAGAGTCCTTGTTACCTGCCCAATACTTGTGTTTGCCAGTGTGCAGCTTGAAATGTTTGTCTTCTGCTTCCTAGAAGTCTGGCTGATGTAGTCAAAAAGAAATTTTCAGGTGCTCAAAGTGACTCTTTTCTGCAAAAGAAACTCTCAGCCTATGATAAATACAGCTGGGCCCTTTGCTGCACCTGCATACCCTGGTTGACCTACCCTATTGAAGAATGCACTGGAGGACAGATAAGCTTGTTGTAACAGCACTTCAGTGTTGGCAGGCTAAGGCAGGAATTAGATTCCACAGCTACTGACAACACCTTACTGCCAGCTTGCTCCTGTTTAAGCTGGAAGATGAAGAGCCAATTCAAGGGCCTTGGAAGACTATAACTGCTATGGCAATATGTTGAAGGAGGACAGGGCAGTCCTGAGATGTAGGTGTCCCAAGCACTTAAAATGTTTGTGGCTTATAAAATCAGTAGTTTGCACTGCCCCTGGAAATGAATCTGGTATTCTTTCAGGCTGTAGATGCACTGTAGCCCTCCCTCCTCCTAGAGTTGTGCATGCAGCTATTCAGTTAGTTGTAAGGGCAAATCTTATAGTTTCATAGTTATTAGGGGCTGGAAGGGACCTTACACATCATCAGGTCCAGTCCCACTGCACTTGGGCAGGAAAGACTGCTGGGATCAGATGACCCCAGCAAGATGGGCATCAAGATGTTTTTGAAGATCACCAAGGTGGGTGACTGTACTATCACTGCACAGTGAATAGATGCTTCTCCGAGCCCTGATGTATGCCCCGATATACTTACATCTGGTACTCACATCTGGAGTACCATGTTCACTTTTGGGGCCCCCACTATGGAAAGGATGTGGACAAATCAGAGAGAGTTCAGTGGAGGGCAATAAAAATGGTGAGGGGGCTGGAGGATATGACTTATAAGGAAAGACTGAGAGAACTGGACTTATTCAGTCTAGAGAAGAAGAGACTGAGAGGAGACTTAATAGCAGCCTTCAATTACCTGAAGGGGGGTTCGAAAGAGGATGGAGATGTACACCTTGCTGGGGTCATTTGACCCCAGTACTCTTTCCTGCCATGGCAGGGGGTCGGACTAGATGATCTACTCAGGTCCCTTCTGACCCTAGAAACTATGAAACTATTATAGGCTGCCACCAAGTCCCCCCTGAGTCATCTTTTCTCCAGGCTAAACAGTCCCAAGTCCTCCAGCTTCTCCTTGTATGACTTGGTCTCCAAGCCTCTAATGATGTGTGTGGCCCTCCTTTGGACTCTCTCGAGCTTCTCCACATCCTTCTTGAAGTGTGGTGCCCAGAACTGGATGCAGTACTCCAGTTGCAGTTTCACCAAGGCTGAGTAGAGCGGGAGGCTGACATCCTTTGCCTTGCTCAAGATGCCTCCATGGATGCATGCCAGTGTTTGATTTGCTCCTTCCCTTGGAGGAGCCATACGAGCAACACAGAGCACTATCAATGATTCTTCTGTGACTGTGCAACTGGCAGCCTTCTGGTTTGCCTATGATATGGAAGATGTTGAAAGCTGGAGAACTGAGTAATCTAGCATAAGAAACCGCACTCCAGTGCATTTTGAATCCAAGTTAGCTAGGAGTTTAAATGCTGTACCTCTGTGCTTGGCTTAGCCAGCTAGTGTGGAGGGAAGAGCTGGGATTTAGCACATTATGTGCAGTTCTGGTCTCTGCATCTCAGAAAGGATGCAGTAGAATCAGAAAATGTACAGAGAAGAGCAACCACTGTGATTAGGGGAATGGAGCAGTTGACATACCAAGAGAGACTAAAAAGGCTAGAACTCTTCAGTTTGGAAAGAAGATGGAGGTGGGGGTGGATATGTTCAAGGTCTATAAAATCATGAAGGGTTTGGACCAAGTGAACAGAGAATTGTTGTTCACCAAGCCCCAGAATATTAGAATGAGGGGACTCCTACTGAAATTAGTAGGAGACAAGTTTAGAACTGACAAGAACAAGTATTTTTAATATATAATACATAATTAACTTGTGGAATTCATTGCCACAGGAGGTGGGTGAGGAAGAGAACATAGTCAAGTTAAAAGAAGGGACGACTAGACAAATTCATAGATAATAGACCTGTTAAAAGCTGTTGAATAGAATGGTTGCAGATGTTTCCTCTGGCATATCTAAACCAATAATGGTGGATGTCAGGGAGGGAAATGAGTAGGGAATATATCACTCTAGATCAGTGGTCTCCAACCTTTTTATGGTGAAGATCACTTTTTGTAAGTAAAGGGCACCCCACAATCTAACCTCCCCCACTCTGGCTCTGGCCCCAGCCCCTGCTCCAGCCCCTGGCCTCCCAGATAAGCCGTCCAGGCTCTAACCCCACTCACCCAGCCTGGCCTGGGTGGCAGGGGGTATGGCTCAGCCCAGCCACATGCATCCTGCTGCTCCCGATTTGGAGCCTCTGACAGACTGAGATCAACTGTCAGAGGCTCCATGATCGACCAGTCGTTCAAGATCAACTGGTTGGTGACCACTGCTCTGGATCTATTTGGTTCAGTGCTCTCCACTGCCACGGTCAAAGACAGAATACCGGGCTGGATGGACCATTGGTCTGACCCAGTATGGCTCTTATGTTTTTACACTGATGCTACTATCTTCTTCTAAACCGATAATGTTTAAACAATATCCCCCACTTACAGGAGAGATCCTGCTCCAATTAATCTAGATACCTCCTGGCTTATGCTTTTTCATGTGTCAGTCTCCTAGTTCTGATCAATTGACTTCTGTTTTGTGGCTGAGAGAGAGACATCCAGAAAACGTAAATTTGCCCCACCCGTCTGACCTAGGATTCTAGTTACTTTGTGATCAAGCATCTCAGCTGGGCTCCTGGTTGCAGCTATACTGGTCTTTGGCTGCCAGCAGGGAAAGGTGATGTGCAAGTAACAGGCTCCTGCTTCTTTCACTGGCCTTCTAGATAAAGGGTCACATTCTGGATCAGCAGAGCTGTAGTGCAGAATGTCTGCATTGGGTTCTCAGTCTGTCCAGCCTGGATCTTGCTGCAAAGCCTGTGCATGTGTCAACAACTGAAGGCAGAATGAAGATAAAGGCGATGCCAAGTGCTTCCCTATGAAGGTAGAGGGGTCAGGTCACTGCTGCATTTTCATTACTTGCAGATAAGGTAAGTGTGAAAAATGTAGCCTATAATAGCAAGTAAATAATAGACGGCAGATGGGGTTGTACTCAGAACAAAGAAAAAATGAACACACCGATGCTGGTAAGTGACTGATGTGTAGAGGCTTTTACTGCTGGGATGGAGCAGAAGGAATGGTGAACAGGAGTCTCTCTCAAAGCTGGGCTGTGAAGCTCAGACTCCGATACCCACCTCTAGACTAAATCTGCAGAGGGGATGAATCCATTTCAACAGAAAATCGGAGAACTGTCTAATAGGACAAAGCCGAGAGGTATATTGCTCTGCCAGTCAGACCAGATCAAACGATGTCTGGGGCAGAGATAGTTGTGTAACCTGGTTGTAAAATGGACTGTGTCCTGTCCCCGGGGTTTGTCCACATGGAGGATAAAAACCTGCTACTGCTGCTCAAAAGTGATCCTACTCCTTTGGCTCAAGTGGGCACAATCTACAATGAAAGTCCTGGATTCAAACTGCAAAATCTCACAAGGAAGAGGAGGAAGAGAACAAAAAGAAAACAGTATTTAGCACCAGCCAAGCACTATATGCTTTAGAGATAGGTACAGCACACTCTCCAGATATATAAGGACAAGGAGAAGCTTGTTGGGGAGACTGCTCAAGGGACAGTTTAAGACTGAAGCCAGTTTGCTTGTGGACTACCCTGCCCTGTGCTGCTGGACTTGGATTATATGGGTATTTATTCAGCTGCATTTTAAATGGTCAGCATCAGAGTAGTATGTATAGAGGTGCTCCTAGTTCTTCATACAGATCTAAATTAATAGGCTGAACAAATAAATCTACCCCTCTCCAGGGCACTCTAGCATCTCAAGGTGTCAAGACCTTTGTACCATCAAAGTCATGTAACTGTTTTCAAGGGTACTTTTTAGCACTACAGTGTATAGAGCAGTGGTCTCCAACTTTTTAAAATAGGAGATCACCTTTGGCATTTAAAAACAACCTAAGATCTACTGTGCACCGCTCCCACCTCCCATCCCCCTGCCCAGCAGGTAAGTCTGTGGGGAAGGAAGGTGGGAGCAGAAGCAGATCAAGGCAGAGGGAAAAAAAATATTTGGGGGTGCCCCTCCCCAGCAGGTAACTCCCACATAGCTGGGGCCCCACTCAACTTACCCCTGCTCCTGTCTCTGCGGCACCGTCCCTCACTGCAGGGCCCTTGATCTAGCCCTGCCCCTTCCCTCCCCCATGGACTGACCTCCTGGGCTGGAGCATGCATGTGCATGCACGTGGGCACTCAACCCCCT